GAGCCAAAGAGAGTGAAAGGCAGACAACTCCATAAGCAGGGAGAACAATTGAAAGCTATGTCTGTGTTGGGCCGAGAGTCTTTGGCCTTTGGCCAACGCACAAACACACACACACACAAACATCTCCTGCTCACGAGCAGCGGTGAACATCATCATTGAAGAACATTTGGCGCTTTGTTAGGAGCACGATGACTAACACAGAGCAGCAACACAGTAACAGCGGCGGCAGCGGCAACAATCATCAAAACGGTCAAAGAGCGCACGGTAAATTAGTCAACCAAAAGCAACAACAACAATCATCATCATTTCCATATAAAATCATAAAAACTCATCATCATTTCCTTCTTCAACTCTACTTACCAAAATGAAAGGGAGAGTGATGATGTGTCGCTGTTCGAATGGGAACAATAACGGCGCCCGGTGATTTCACTTTCTTCAGCGCCTGAGTTTGTCCAGTGAGTGCAAGAGGACTCCGTGGTCCGTTCGTTGATGACAAGAGAAGTTACTAATATAAAAAAGGTGATTTAGTAATTGAAAGAAAGGATGAACAAGGAACATGTGATTTGATACAAACCAGATAAGGGAAATAGAAATAGAAATGAAGACGACGTGATCTTCAGCGGGCGAGTGCCAACTTCGAAATGACTATTGCGACTCTGGTCTCTGCCTTTTTGGCGCAACTCTTTGTTCTCGGGCTGAGATTTGGCGGCCAGCCAACCAGGTGCCGGGAAATGAGAGCAGCCGAGCACCAGTGCCGCCCTTCACNTGGCGCAACTCTTTGTTCTCGGGCTGAGATTTGGCGGCCAGCCAACCAGGTGCCGGGAAATGAGAGCAGCCGAGCACCAGTGCCGCCCTTCACAGTGCTTCTACCCCCCTGTCTGCCGAGAGGTAGCAGCAAAACGGTGATTTTACCTGGAGCGGCTATGTCCACTCTTCGGTCATTCGTCGCCTGACCTTGGCCGAGGATGGATCGCGCTCTTTTTTTCTGGTTCGATTTCTCGAATTTCTGATTTCGGTTTGTTATCGCTGGATTTCTACTTCCATCTCTTACTAACTGTTTGTTCTTTTAGAATGTTGACGTTGTAGCAAGCATAACTTGTGGCTCAAGTACTCGGATCTGGTTTTGGTCACTGGATTTTCTAAAACTCGATGTAAACAAACGATATTTGACTTGTTGACGTTTTCGATGGACTACTGAACTATTTGGGTAAGTGGAACTTTTTTCTTACTTTCTTCGTCAGTTAGGAAATTAGTCTGACTTTAACTTTGCATTTCGAAACACCTTTCCACGTCATGGAAGTTTCAGTTACTTTGAGGAAGTTTGACCACTATGTTTGTCGAATTGCGTCAATTGTCAATTCGTTTTCCTCGTGCACTAAACTGCCCACACTGCTAAGTGCGTTGTTTTTACCGCGTTCCTTCTGCGGAAAGATACTTTCGATTAAGCTATTATAATTTAGTTGTGATAGTACATGTTGCAATTTAGTAAATTTTGTGAGCAATTACAGGTTGATACTTTTTGCAGTTTTGTTTCTAATGTGTGTGTTAAATCTGAGACCAAGATTAAGAAGAAAATAGACAGATTCGAAGGAGATAGACTGCCGTAGGAATGATGAAAAAGAGATAAGCTACCGCCATTACGGTGATCCACCTCATTTTCCCCGATCTAGTCTCCAGGTAGACGTCATTTAGTGAGGTATCTCCAGTGCGCTGAATGCGACTCTTGACCACCTTGTCGTCGACCTTCTTCAGATTCATTGCCAGGCCTAGCTTTGCGCAGAGGTCAATGAACATCGTCGACACGTTCAGGTCGTGCGTCCAGGAGAGTTCACTCGCCGAGTAGTCGAACGGAAAGACGTGATGGTAGTTGTGGTATCCTGTTTGTTTAAACATTGGCAATGTTGAGTTTTGATTTTCCTTTTCAAACTCTCTTTCTCTTTCTCTTACCTTCTCCCACTGTCATCACCTGCACTAGTTTGCTCTCTCGCGGGTTGATCACCTTATCGTAGGGCTTTGTTCCATACAGGTGGGCGGCTGAGTTGACGAGCCAGGTTGAGTGCTGCAGAAAAAAGATGCGTTATATTTTCTTTTGTTGCTACTTTTGCCGCCGCCCTGAGTGATGCTACTCACCAAACTGAAGCAGTATCGGAAGGCAGAGAGGTAGAAGGCGACGTAGAAGTTCTCGCCCCAGAAGTAGTACGGAATGTACGTGGGCAGGTAGAAGGTGCAGAAGATGGCGAGCGGCTTGTAGAACTGCCGCTGGAACTGCACCACCGGGTCCGCCTCGATGTCCGCCAGCGACACCGTCTTGCCCTTGCGCAGCACCTCGGGGTGCTTCCGACAGAGCAGCCAGCCCATGTGGGCGAAGAAGAAGCCCCGCGTGGAGTTGTGCGGGTCGGCGTCGGTGTCGCTGAACTTGTGGTGCACTCGGTGGTCGCGCGACCACTCGAGAATGTCGTTCTGCAGCGAGGCAGAGTTGAGTATCATGAGGAAGATGCGCAGCGGCAGCTTCGCCTCGTACGATCGGTGTGACCTGTAAAGGAAAATGTTTTAGTTGTTCCTCACTTGCTTCGCCAATTCTCTTTACACGCACCACAGCCTGTGCGCCCCACAGGTGACGCCCAGTCCAATGAGGACGGTGACAAAGTTGGTGTAGAGCAGGGTCTTGTACTGCGCCGTGGCGACGTAGTGGTAGGCGCCGATGAGGGCCAGCGTGTGGAGGATGGTCATGAGGATGATGTTCCGCCAGACGATGGAGATCTTGTACTGCTTCACTGCGGGAGTTGTCGCTTTCTGTTGATCCACTTCGGAGGTGGTACTTCCATTGCTGCTGGTGCTGTTTTTGCAGCCATTTAAAGTTGTTCCATTGTAGTGGTGGTGGTGATGGCCATTGCTGCTGCTGTTGACCACAGTGGTCGTCTCTTGAACACTTTCAGTTGCGGACATGATCTCAACTGTTTGTCCTCTTTCTGTCTATTGTTCAACACTTTAGCACTAGTTTGTTTTTGGTTGAAATTGGCGTTGATTTTTAGATGTGATGATGATCAGCACTGAGCGCTCACAAACAGCCAACTGGCACCGATCGAACTTTAGGCGTATTACTTTATTTAAGTAAAGAAGGCGACCAAGACAGTGTCGGTGCCATTGAGCGAGTGAGGAGTTGTCGTCACAAATATGCCAGTGTGCCTTATGTTACACACCTTCTCTTGCTGGTGCAGTAGTCCTCCTCCTCCGTCCTCCTCCCTCTCGTACCACTCTGATTGCTCTCTGTCTCTCTAATTAGATGTAATCGGTGCAGAGTTCGTGATGAGTCGCAGGTAGGCCTGCACACATGTGTCGTCAGCGGTGCTGACGAGCGTACCAAAGTGTGCGCTCTACTGTGTGCTGTGCTGTAATTTCCCTTTTCTTTTTAGCGTGTATTTTGCTTACTCAGTCAGTGTCTGTCCCTCCTCCTTTGCTTGGATCTGTTTTTCTCCATCCTCAGTGAGGTAACGTCTATGTCGCTGGAGGTTACCTAGCTGTTGTGTCTTAGTAAGTCACACACGCGGTGGAGGGAGGCAGAAAGGGTAAACAGTGTGTTTACGTGGGAAAGGGATAGGAGAGCAGTGTTGTGGGGGGGGCAAGAGACGCATCAGTCGCAGTTTCTG